CACACACACACACACACACACACACACACACACACACACACACAGCCGAAGAAGTCAGAGCGCTGGAGAAAGGTGGTGGACTGGAAGAAGAAGAGGAAGAAAAAGATCCCTCTCTCTCTCTCTCTTTACCAAGTACTGACCCGCAAAAGGTGGTGCCTTGATGCAGGTGCGGACGTGCTGAAGACGAAGCTGGAGCAATGGCTACACAGGTAAGTCTCAGGTAAGTCCTCAGGCCGCCTTCACCATCTCTCCCTCCCTGCGCTACTTTGCTCTATCAGCGCCCAACACTGGGAGACTCGTCCTATCGTTGACTACTACTGTCCTGTCGTCGTCCGAAGTATGCCTCCTCGATCCTCATACTCAAGGATGAGGAACTGAGGCCAGACCCAGCTAGGTCGGCCTGAGCCGCTGAGTCTTGGTGCTCAAACTAAGACTGGGCCTCAAAGTTTGGCGCCCAAACTGAGGCTGCTCCAGCGCCTACCGAAACGGCGCGGCCTCAAAGTCAGGGCCTTGGCGCCAAAACGCGTGTCAAGGCCTGTACTCAAAATGAGGCCCACAGGGCCTCTACCTGGTACTGGTCCTACTCGGCCTAGCGACCCTGCGGACCCTGCTAAGGGTCGAAACGACGCAGACCCCCTAGTCGAACTGAGTATGGCACACTCCCCCCTCCTTGAAAGACCGAGCTTACCTGCGAGGGCGAAGCTGTTCGTTGGAGGGAGGGAGGGACTGAAGTCCGGGTGGGAGGCTGTGGAGCTTCTGTGGCTAGCCGTTTCTTCGCATATTTGGCATAGATAAGCGGTGCGGAGGCTTGCAAGGCTGCTCGTGAAATCCATCGCCTATCATCGGGGTCGCACCACTTGAATGTGACCTTGTACTGCATTGGCTTGTTGTCGTGCTTGCGATGCGTGATGGCGCGGTCGACTTCCTGATGACCATCCATGGAGGGAGGGTCCTGGATCGTCGTCTCTGGAAGTCGTCGCTCTTGGCTTGTGTATATGTGGCCAGCTTGGAGGCGTGGAAGACCGGGTGCACCATGAGATGCGGCAGGATTTCGATCACAAAGGAAGCGCCATCGGGCTCATCACCCGCGGCTGATGTGACGGTCCATGGTCCAAACCACTTTGGAAGTAGCTTGCGGGATACATCTTGTTCAAGCGCAAACTCCTCCGTGGAGACCCAAACAAGGTCGCCGGCGCAGATAAGGCATGGCACGCAACGCCTGTTAGCTTGCTGTTGCATGCGGACTTGAGCCTTTTGCATGTTGGCCCGGGCTTTAGCCAGCAAGTCCCTATACTTCCGAACGGAGACGGGAGAACAAGCGGCGTCAATGTCGGTAGTCCTTGGAAATGGAAGATCAGCGAAGATACGGGCCTTTCCTGCCAGCGTGCTGCAACTCGAATGGAGTCACGTCGATCCCCAGGTGCAACAAAGTGTTGTAGGCGAATTCGATGTCGGGGAGGCGGTCAACCCAATCCTTCTGATCCGTACGGATAAGTGTGTGAAGCATCACTTGAGCGGTTTGATGTGCCCACTCCGTCTGCCCATCCGTTTGCGGATGCGGAGACGAACTTGGTTTCATCTCGGTGCCGGACTCTTTCATGAGGGAGGTCCAAAATGCCGACATAAAACGAGTGTCGCGGTCGCTAGCGATGTCTTTCGGAATGTTGTGGCCGCAAATCCAGCCAGTGTGCAAGAGGCACACAAGCTCAGGAGTCGTGGTGTAGTTCTTGCAAGGAAGAAATCGCGCGTACTTGCTCAAACGGTCAACGACCGTGAGATTGTCGTCGTGCCCGAAGCGGTCGCGGGGGAACGGGCCGGTGACGCCCATAGCAATGGAGAGGCCGGGTTCCCGTGGGATAGGCAACGGGCGTAACTCGCCGTAGGGGTTGCGATTGGGGGGTTTGCGTTGTCGGCAAACTTCGCAAGAGTCGCAATACCGAGTGACCTCAGTAATAAGGTTGGGCCACCGGAATCGTTGTCGAAGTCTTGCGATCGTACGGTCGACTCCGAAGTGGCCGGTGAGTCGCGAGTCGTGGTACTCGTCGAGGAGGCGAGTCCGTAAGCGACGGCCGTGTGGGACGCATAGTAAGTCCTTGCCTCGTGAGTGAAGAAGCAAGTAGCCGTCGACGACGCGATAATGGCTGACCGGCGAGTAGTCCGAGGATAGTTGCGCGTAGAGCGTGGCGTATTCCGGATCGGACTTGTATGCTCGCACAAAATGTTGATGAAAGGTGCCGTGGAAACTGAACGCGTGGTGAGTCAATGCACAAAGATCTGATCTTCGTGAGAGAGCATCCGCGGCTCTGTTTGAGAGGCCTGAAATGTGTTTCGGTGTGAAGTCGAACGGATCGATGAAGTACATCCATCGAGCGATCGTGCTCCTCACCGTGTCTTGCGTCTTGTAGTAGGTCAATGGGTTATTGTTCGTAGCCTAAGTGAACCTACGACGCCCGAGGAGGAAGTGTCACCAACGCATGAGTACTGTGACAAAAGCAAGCAACTCCTCCTTCCGCGCATCATCAACCGAGTTGATGGGAGGCACCTTTTGGTTGAAGTACTCAACCGGATGCCAATCTACTCCGTCGTGCTGTTCCAAAACTGCACCCATGCCGTGGCCGGAAGCGTTCGTAGTCACTCTCGTAGGCAAGGTGGGATCGTAGATACTCAAGACGGGAGCAAGGAGCAACGCTGTCTTCAATTTGTGGAATGAAGTGCGGACTTCGTCGGTGAACTGGAAGGGCACCTTTGGAGACTGCAATCTTGACAAGGGTGCGGCAATCCGTGCGTATCCTCTGATGACGCATTGGTAGTACCCGGCCAATCCCATAAAAGAGCGGACTTCTGTGGTGTTGGTCGGTTCCGGCCAATCTTGGATGGCCTTGATCTTGTCCGCAAGCGGACGGATGCCTTGCGGCGTCACAAAGTGGCCCAAGTACTCGAGCTCTTGCTGCGCGAATTCGCACTTGACTCGGTTGGCCTTGTACTTGGCCGTACATAGCCTGTCCAAAACAACACATAGATGCACGATGTGCTCGTCCAAAGTCTGGCTATACACCAAGATGTCATCAAGGTAGATCAGCACGAACTGGTCCAACATATCGCGAAACTTCGTTGTCATTGCCGCTTGGAAGGTGGTTGGGGCATTCGTAAGGCCGAATGGCATTACGACCCACTCGAAGTGCCCGTACCGTGTCTTGAACGCAGTTTTGTAGCGATCTCTTGGATGGATCTCGAGCTGGTGGTAACCGGCCTTGAGGTACAACTTGGAGAAGTACTTGGCGCCACCCAAGCGCTCGAGAAGATCGTCGATGCGTGGAAGCGGGCCGACATGCTTGATGGTTTGAGCGTTAAGCTTACGATAGTCAATGCATACGCGCAACTCCTTGTTCTTCTTCCCAACGAAGAGAACGGGTGCACCGTAGGGCGAGCAGCTAGGGTGAATCCAACCCTTGTCAATGAGGTCGTCGAGTTGCGTCCGTAGCACTTTGAGTTCCTCCTCGCTCATGCGGTAAATACATCCGCGCGGAGGTATGGCCCCGTCTTCGAGGATGATCTCATGATGAGTTGGCCGATTTGGTACGATTCCGACGGGGGCTTCAAAAACGTCGCCATAGGAGTCAAGAAGTTGTACAGTGCATGGATCCAGTTGCTGTTTTGCAGCTGGCTCGTCGGGAGAAGGGAGGGCGTGCAAGAAGCAAATGCCCATTTCTACCACGTCGTTCCGTGTGATGGAGTTGCGAATGCTTGCCGCGGAGATCACGTGACAACCAATCGAAGGGTGAGGTGGGGGGACTGTACATGGCACAAGTACCCCATTCCGGTCACGAACGTGAACGGTCCGGCGGTAGAAGTTCACCGGGTGGTTCTCGCTGCGCAGCCACGGCATGCCCAAAATCATGTCGAGCTTTGTGTCCAATATGTCAAAGGACACGACCTCGCGTGCATGCAGGGCGAAGTACAGGTGGACGGAGTCAACGCACCAGTCAATGGACTTGTGCGTACGACCGTCAACATGATCAATAGAGATTTTCATAGATTTGACAAAGTCCTACTTGATTTACTAACGAGTAATCAATAGATCAAGCAAGCTGGCTATTTGATTGAGCGGGTCCTTTGAATGAGAGGTCCGCTTCGATACCAAACTGTTGCATACTGTAAAGGTGCAGACCTGAACAAGAACCGACCTCTCTATCAAAGTACAAGATAGCGCAGCGAAAAACTTAGATACCAATGATCCGAACAATCAATATTGCAATGCAGCCCAGAACATACATCATCATCATCATTCCATGGTGTGAAGGGGTCTAGCGCTCACACAGGAAGAATGCGCCATCCCCAACCATACACAGACGAAGAAGAGGAGGGGTTAGACGAAGAAGAGGGGAAGATGGGAATGTCGTCAACACCAAGTCTTCGGCACAGGCCCAAATACTCCCTCGTCAAAATGTCTGAATCCCAATGTATCCACTGTCGTCAAGTCTCAAGTCACAACTCTCTCTCTCTCTCTCTGTAGTAGTCTGTTGATACTGAGAAGTCAGGTGGTGAGAGGGTGAAGAAGACATGGTGGACTTAGAAGAGGAAGAAGAAGAACTCTCTCTCTCTCTCTCTCTCGGTGTCCAGTACTAACCTGTGAAGTTGGCGCCTTGATGCAGGTACCTCGAAGATGGAGCTGGAGCTATGGCGCCACAGGTAAGTACCGCTGGCCTCCGCCAGCCATCTCTCTCCAACACTACTACTACCTGCTGCTAGCGCCCTGCGCTGAAGACAACTCCTGCAGCTATGAGCGGCCAGCGCTGAAGACTACTGCTAGCGCTAACTACTATTGCAGCGCTCCTCCAGAGTGCTGCGGCCGAATCCTGAAGACTCCTCGTGCCTACTGTCCAACTACCTACTTGTGTAGTGCATGGGAACTTCCTATGTACTACTCGGCCTGCCTCCTGACTGCAGGGCGAGGCAGTCCAGTAGGCTGCTCTTGCCAATGCCGCAGGGAGTTAGGGGCTGCCGCTGCAGCTCCTACTTGAGGCTGTTAAGGGAACAGGCTAAAGATAGCCTGTTCCCGAAACCCTGGTTTTGTGCCTGAGTATTAGGGTAGGTCAATCTTATGAGGGCCCGAAAGTGGACCTCCGTTTCAGGCTGAAAAGCCTCAGGGCTGAAAAGCCCTGTTATAGGCTGAAAACGAAATAGGGCCTGCAGGCCCTCGTTTTCAGTTTCAGGCTGAAACGACATGGGGCCTGTAAGCCCTATTTTCTAGGCTTTTAGGCTTAGAATGCGGGACGGGCCCTGCAGGCCCGTGTGGCTACGCAGTACGCCACCCCCCCCCCCTCCTTGAAAGCCCGAGCTTACTTGCGAGGGCGAAGCTGTCTGTTTGAGGGAGGGACCACAGTGCATGTTGGAGGGGCAGGTCGTGAAGGTCCCTGAGCGAACCTTTGTCGCTCGTAGTGAGCGTAGATCAGCAAGGCGGATGCTTTCAAATCTGTTCCTGAAATCCACCGAGTGTCGTCGGGATCGCATGCTCTGAATTTAACTTTGTACTGACGAGGCTTGTTGTTGTACTTGCGATCCGTGATGACGCGGTCAACCTCGTGATGACCATCCATAGATGGAGGGTCCTGCGATCGTCGTCCTGGGAAGTCGTCGCTCTTAGCTGGTGTATATGTTGCCAGCTTCGAGGCGTGAAAGACTGGATGGACCATCAGGTGCACCAGGATGTTGATCACAAATGAAGGGCCATCGGGCTCATCGCCCGCGGCTGATGTTATGGGCCATGGTCCAAACCACTTGGGAAGCAGTTTGCGTGAAACATCCTGTTCCAGTGCAAACTCTTCCGCGGAGACCCAAAGCAGATCACCGACGAGGATGGGACATGGCACGCAACGCCTGTTGGCTTGCTGCTGCATGCGGACTTGAGCCTTTTGCATGTTTGCGCAGGCTTGAGCCAGCAATTCCCTGTACTTCCGGACGGAAGCGGGAGAGCAAGCGGCGTCGATGTCGGCTGGTCGTGGGAGGAGAAGGTCGGCGAAGATACGGCCTTTCTGTCCACCATGGTGCAACTCGAATGGAGTGACGCCGATCGCCGGGTGCACCGAAGTGTTGCAGGCGAACTCGATGTCGGGGAGGCGGTCAACCCAATCTTTCTGGTCCGGACGGATGAGCGTACGAAGCATCATTTGAGCGGTTTGATGTGCCCGCTCCGCCTGCCCGTCTGTCTGTGGATGCCAAGCCGAACTTGGTTTCATCTTCGTGCCGGACTCCTGCATGAGAGCAGTCCAAAATGTCGACATGAAGCGAGTGCCACGGTCGCTGACTATGTCTTCGGGTACACCGTGGCCACAAATCCAACCGGTGTGCAAGAGGCGTGCCAGCTCGGGAGTCGTGGAGTAGTACTTGCAAGGGAGAAAACGCGTGTACTTACTCAAACGGTCCACAACCGTGAGGATGCCGTCGTGCCCGAGGCGATCACGAGGAAATGGTCCGGTGACATCCATGGCAATGGAGAGGCCGGGTTCCCATGGGATAGGCATCGGGCGCAACTCGCCGTAGGGGTTGCGATTGCGGGGCTTGCTTCGTCGGCAAACTTCGCAAGAGTCGCAATACCGAGTGACATCGATAATGAGGTCGGGCCATCGGAATCATTGTCGAAGCCGTGCAATGGTGCGGTTGACTTCGAAATGGCCGGCGAGTCGCGAGTCATGATACTCACCGAGAAGGCGAGTCCGAAGACGACGGTCTCGTGGGACACACAATAAGTCCTTGCCTCTCGAGTGGAGGAGCAAGTACCCGTCGCAAATGTGATAGTGGCTGGCGCGGGTGATCCGAAGATAGCTGCGCATACAACGTGGCAAAKTCCGGATCCGACTCATATCCCCGGATGAAGTGTCGCTGAAGTTCCTCGTTGAATGCGAAGGCATGATGTGTCATAGTGCAAAGATCAGGTCTTCGCGAGAGTGCATCTGCTGCGCGATTGGAGAGGCCGGGAAGATGTTTCAGTGTGAAGTCAAATTGGTCGATGAAGTATATCCATCGTCCGATCGTGCTGCTCACCGTATCCTGCGTCTTGTAGTAAGTCAGTGGGTTGTTGTCCATAACCCATGTGAACCTACGACGCCCAAGGACGAAGTGCCGCCATCGCTTGAGAGCCATCACGAACGCGAGCAGCTCCTTCCTTGCATCATCAAGCGAGTTGATGGGAGGCACTTTGTGGCTGAAATACTCCACAGGGTGCCAGTCGTCGCCGTTGTGTTGTTCCAAGACTGCCCCAATGCCATAGCCAGAAGCGTCAGTTGTCACTCTCGTAGGCAGGGTGGGGTCATAGATGCTAAGGACGGGTGCCATAAGCATGGCCGTCTTAAGTGCTTGGAATGACTGGCGTGCGTCGTCATCGAGTACGAATGGCACCTTTGGCGATTGTAATCTCGTCATAGGTGCAACAATCCTGGAGTATCCGGTGATGAATCGCTGATAGTAGCCCGCCAACCCCATGAATGAACGAACGTCTGTGGTGTTGGTGGGGTCGGGCCGTACGCGGGGGGCCTCAATCTTGTTCGCAAGCGGACGGATGCCTTGCGGCGTCACATAATGTCCCAAGTACTCCAGCTCCTGCCGCACGAATTCGCATTTGTCGCGGTTGGCTTTGTACTTGGCTTGTCATAGCCGCTCCAAAATGGTGAGCAGGTGTTCCACATGCTCGTCCAAACTCCGGCTGTACACCAGGATGTCGTCGAGGTAGATAAGTAGAAATCGATCCAGCATGTGTCGGAACTCCGTTGTCATAGCTGCTTGGAAAGTGGCCGGGGCATTCGTAAGGCCAAATGGCATAACCAGCCATTCGAAATGCCCATATCGCGTCTTAAACGCGGTCTTGTAGCGGTCCTCCTTCCGAATCTCGAGCTGGTGATATCCCGACTTGATGTCCTGCTTGGAGAAGAACTTGGCGCCGCCCAGTCGTTCGAGAAGGTTGTCGATGCTTGGGAGAGGGCCGGCGTTTCTGATCGTTTGCCCGTTGAGCTTGCGATAATCGATGCACAACTGCAAATCCTTGTTCTTCTTCCGGTCGAAGAGAACAGGTGCACCGTATGGTGATGAGCTAGGCCGTATCCAGCCTTTCTCTAGAAGGTCGTCGAGTTGTGCCCGTAGCACACTTACCCGCTTCCTCGCTCATTCGGTAGATGCAATCGCGCAGAGGTACGGCCCCGTGCTCGAGGATGATCTCGTGGCGGATGGGCCGATCCGGTACTACTCCGTGCGGGCCTTCGAACACGTCGCTGTAAGCGTCGAGAAGCTCGGTGATGCGTGGATCCGAAGATGAGTCCGTCGATGAAGGGTCTCGGGGCGGGAGGGCGTGGAGAAAACATACCCCCATCTCCTCGATGTCGTCTCTGATGATGGATGCTCGCATGCTTGCGGCGGATACCACGTGGCAGTTGGTTGAAGGATGAGGAAGCGGCACCGTGCATGGAACTAGTACTCCGTTCCGATCATGAATGTGAACGGTGCGGTTGAAGAAGTTCACCGGGTGATCCTCGCTTCGCAGCCATGACATGCCCAAGATCATGTCGAATTTGGTGTCCAAAATATCAAAGGACACCGCCTTGCTTGCATGCGGGACAAAGTACACGGGGACGTCATCAATGCACCGGCCAATTGACTTGTGCGTGTGACTGTCTGCCAATGTGACTTGCGTCGGCTGGGACTTCCTCCGGACGCATGGGCCAAGGCCGGCGCGTACCATAAAGTCCAAGCTCTATGGAATTTCCACCACATTTCAAAAATTAGCAAAGCAAATAAGTACACTTCAAAGTGGCTTTGTGTACCATTATGCTTTTGTTTTGTTAATCGGGTTAACCATATTTATTACCATCATAGGTCTTTGGGACTTTATTTCATTTTGGGTAGATAATCGATTGTATTTTATTTACTTGTAGTTGCGAGATGGTCTGCAATCGATCAAAGCGTTGCAGGTCGCCTCTCCAATCTGAATGCGTACATATAACAATGGTGCGTCGATGTCGTCATACCGTTGCATCTTGAACTCGCGGTCGATCTTCGCAATGTAGGCGTGAAGGTCGACAACCTCTACTCCGGCGTCCATCAACGGAGTTGGTACTGCAGTGTGCAAGTAATCCCGCAATTGTGCCATGAGCTTGTTGCAATGCGGTTTCGACAATCGATCGGACCAGGGAAGGGGCATCCATTGGAAGTCCTCAGGGTCGAGCTGTTGAAGTCTTGACCATGACGTTGAATCCCCGGCGGTAGATGGCGGCGAAGCTGTCGAATTGGTTGTCGATGGTGATGAAACCGTGCATGCGGTAGATTGTTGCACGTGGAGCGGTTGGTCCAGCGGTGGGACCAAGTGGACAGCATAGTCCTCGTAAGCATACCGAGAACTTACGACATTCGCATCCTCCCCAGATGTGTAGGAGGCCGCTAGCAAGGCAACCGAATCTGGCGGAGTGGGAGGTGGAGTCGCCTCACCTCCCGCGGAACTCAGTTTCCCGAGTTGATACGAGGCCGAACATCCTTCTGGCGCTGATCCTGGCAGAGGGATGGCTTGTGCTTGGTGCTGTTGCACCAATAGCAGCAGCCGTAGCGGCCGCGGAACTTGTACTCGGCCTCGGTCAAGTGAAACTTGACCCATGGTGCTGGCTGTCCGTTTCCGGCCGGCGATGCGGTTTTCGCCTTCCCGTTTCCTCGGGACTTGTTGTTGCTTCGCGGCTGGACAACAGCCACCTGATCTCCCTCACGTGACGCTTGGGTGGCTGTCGGGTCTTTCACAATATTGTTCGATTGGAGTGCAGCGAACTGCTGCGGTCGTGGACCAGTTGTCACCTTCTCCACATAGGTTGGCTGCCACGTTGACTTCTCGTGTGCAACCGCCCTGTTGGTCTTGATGATCTCCCTCGCCTTGTCAATGATTTCAGCGAAGGTTGCATATTGCTCGCGATCACCAAGTGCAAGGCTCAATGCAGCACATGACCTGTTGTAGAACTCGCGGCGCAGATGCGAAAATGGCAAGTCGAGACCGGGCGTTGCCGCGATCTTCTGTCATTCCGTGAGCCAGTCACATGTTGCTGTGCTGCCTTGTGTCATGTCGAAGAGACGGTTGATGGCGAGTGGAGGTGCGTCGTCCACGATGAACCGCTTCTTCCATAGTCGTGTTAACTCTTCCCATGAGATCTTGTCTTTCAGATCTGCGACGTCGACGCCGTGGGTGGATGCCAGGTGGCTTAACCAGGTCTGGCATCCGCCCTTTGAGTTGAGAAACAGGGCGCCGATGTACGCGTGCTTGGCGACGAACAGAATCCGCAGTTGCGTCGTAAGAGGACCGGGTCTTCATGCGTGTAGTCATCGAACTTCTCAATTTGGAAAGTCGGCATCTTGTAATGCGTTGTGCTGTTGCCATCCTTGTTAGGCAGCTTCAGTTGTTGAACCTCGGTCTTCAAGGTATCCAGCTGTTTGCTGATGGTGGTTGGCGCAGCGAAGGTGTTGATGTCGCCGAGCATTGCGACGACGTGATCGACTCGTTGCTCCAGTTGGCGGGCAGAGGGTGCATTGCTGGACTCGCCAGCCTCCGGTCTTGGTGCAACTTGCTCCAAGTCCTGCATACGGGAATCAAGTGTCCGTGCTGCATCCTCATGCTGAGCCTTGTGGGTTCGCATGGCCCGCTGCATATTCACCAGCTCGGACTGCAGGTGGTTACAAGTGTAAACCAACCGAGTCACGAGTTTGGCCATGAATTCCCTGTGCTGTTCCTCCGGTGTCGCGTCATCGTGCCCTTCAGATGGTTCAAAGTGCCAATACTTGAGTCTTTTGATGCTGGCGGCTTCATGCCGCTGCAGCAGATCCTGGGCTTCCTTTCGGCGTGCCTGGGTATCTGCATCTGCTTCGGCCTGAAGCCGCTGCTTCTCAGCTGTTGCCGCTGCTTCAGCCTGTAGGCGGGCAGCCTTGGCTGCCAGCTGGCGCTGTTCCTTAGCCTTGATCAGTGCGAGCTGAGTCTGGAACCACTGTTTGTAGTCGGCAATAGACTCGTTGGCCGGTTGGCCTGGCATGCCCAGAGCTGCGCCCGTCATGGTGGCGTGGCACTGTGACGTGGCACTGTTGCTTACGTGGCACTGTTGCTTACGTGGCACTGCTGATGTGGCACTGTTGCTGACATGGCACTGCTGACATGGCACTGTTGCTGACGTGGAACTGCTGACATGGCACTGTTGCTGATGTGGCACTGCTGACATGGCACTGCTGCTGATGTGGCACTGCTGACGTGGCACTGCTGACGTGGCACTGCTGACGTGGCACTGCTGACGTGGCACTGTTGCTGACGTGGCACTGTACCAACTCGGAAATGCATGCAAAGGGTGGGTGGGGAGGGAAAACGCAGGTAGGGAACCAGCCCAACAATACTTTCCTCCCTGCCCTAATCAACAGAAAAATATAAAAAAATAAAAAATAAAAGAGGTCTACTTCTTTTTTTTTTTTTGTATATCTGTCGATCTGTTATGAGTGAGACATGTCAGAGGAGTACTATGAACGAGATTTAGGCTAGGTTCCGCAAAGTTTCGGTTTTCACAAAATGCGATCTTGAAAAAAAAAAATTGTGAAATAGAGTAGAGATGCGATTTTCAGAAAAGAACT